AGGAATATTTAATTTTTCTTCTTTATTCGTTTTTTTTCCTTTTTCTTCTGGATCTTATTATTATGTTAATACATAGAATATTGTCGAGGCCTCATAGAGACAGTGTTCAAAGACGACATTGACAGCTTATAAAGGCATGTTCAGTAAACCTGTATGGCTCACTAGGTTACGTCACTGTCTCCCGTCCTTCAACCTGTCCATTCCATCCAGCGGTCGACCCCCTCAAAGACACATTCATCAATTTTAACATTCTGTTCATTCGAAACAGAACTTTTCCTCAAATATAAATTAATATTATTATATATTTAGTATATTTGTGCATATTTAGGCACTGGTTAGGTTAGGTTAGGTTAGGTTAGGTTAGGTTAGGTTAGGTTAGGTGTTTAGGTTCTGTTGGCGATTATTTGTATTTGTAGTACGTGGGTGAAGCATTTACAGCGTTGTGGTTCGAACAAAATTCGTCAGTGAAGCACTTGTTCGGGAAGTGTTCGAACGTCATCAGTTGTGAGTCGTGTGTAAACCGTTTTTCATTCATAAACAGCTGGGGTTTGGCGGGTGGATGGAATGGACTTTAGGTCTTTGTTTAGTGGACGGGCTGGAGGACTGCCTGCTGACTCACAAATCGAGGATCGTGGGTTCGATCCTCATGCCAGGACGGAAGCATCTGAGAAGGGTTTCCTTTTACCTGATGCCGCTGTTCACTAAGACGTATTTGGGTACCTGGGAGTTAGACAGCTGTTGTGGGTTGCATCCTGGGGATCGTCAGTAGTTGGCCTAGTAGTTAGATAAACACACACACACACACACACACACACACGGCGCTCGCCCGTGTGTGTGTGTGTGTGAAGAAGAATTGAAGAAGAATTGACTGGGCACCACTCTTGAAATGTTCGGTGTTGTTCACCCAGCAGCATCTGGGGACCTGGATGCAAACCTATTGTCGGATCGTGTTCCAGGGAAAGACTAGAATTAAGCTTATTTTGAGTTATGGAAAAAGAATACTCCGTGGCTGCTAACAGGCGTCAAGACCCGCCTACTCCTGTATCCACCTGTATACAAAACAAGAAGAAAAAAAAGGATCCTTGTAAGAGGGTGATGCTGTAGAGTGCCAGCGTGGCGGGCATCCCAGCCAATCCTCCAGCTTCCCTGCCTGACTCGTCACAGTATTAGTACGTTGCCTAAGCGACGTTCTGTCTATATTATCTTACCTACAGCGATATCAACGGTGAGAAGTACACGTTAGGCACATAATTTCTTTCCGTATCGGTGTGTGGTAACAGCGCGCGGACCCTATAACAGGCTCAACAGGTTGGTCTTTGGCGGACGAATAGGGAGGTGACGCAATACCTGAGGGTCCGAACGACCTTCCTGGGAACGAAGGGATGGGGGGGGGGGGTGGAATGGTGTCTCCATGGCAACTAAGCACATAGGCGTCCGTCCGTACACAACATTTTACGTGGCATATGAACTAAGTTTGACATACGCGAGCGAGAGAGGTTTCCATGGCAACGTGAGTCTTACAGTCCCTGGTCCATATTGTGGACATGTTCGGCATGGTAACTGGACGGTCGATAATACTGGGGACAACTTAAAGAGAAAGAGTTATATTATTATTATATTATAATATAATTTTGATTATATATTTATACACACACACACACACATACACACACACACACACACACACACACACACACACACACACACACACACACACACACACACACACACACACACACACACACACACGCCTTTGATACAGTACCACACAAGAGGCTAGTGGAAAAGCTGGAGATGCAGGCTGGAGTGAAAGGGAAGGTACTCCGTTGGATAAGGGAGTACCTAAGTAACAGGAGACAACGAATCTGTGTGAGGGGTGAGGTCTCGGATTGGCATGACGTCACAAGTGGAGTCCCGCAGGGGTCAGTCCTTGGAACAATACTGTTTCTGATATATGTAGAGGGTATAGAATCGTTTCTCTCAATGTTTGCTGATAATGCAAAAATTATGAGGAGAATTGAAACAGAGGATGATAGTAGGAGGCTACAGGACGACCAATACAGACTGAATGAATGGTCCAACAACTGGCTGCTAAAGTTTAACCCAAGTAAATGCAAAGCAATGAAACTAGGCGGAGGAAACAGGAGGCCAAACACAAGATACAGAATAGGAGATGAAGTACTTAATGAAATAGAAAGAGAGAAAGATCTAGGAATTGATATCACACCAAACCTGTCTCCTGAAGCCCACATAAAAAGAATAACGTCTGCGGCATATGCGAGGCTGGCTAACATCAGAACAGCCTTCAGGAATCTGTGTAAGGAATCGTTCAGAATCTTGTACACCACATACGTAAGACCAATGCTGGAGTATGAGGCCCCAGCATGGAGCCCGTACCTTGTCAAGCACAAGACGAAGCTGGAAAACGTTCAGAGGTATGCCACTAGACTAGTCCCAGAACTAAGAGGCATGAGTTACGAGGAAAGGCTGCGGGAAATGCACCTTACGACACTGGAAGACAGAAGAGTGAGGAGAGACATGATCACTACCTACAAAATCCTCAGGGGAATTGACAGGGTAAATACAGGTAAATTGACAAGGATAAACTATTCAACACTGGCGGGACGCGAACAAGGGGACACAAGTGGAAACTGAGTACCCAAATGAGCCACAGGGACGTTAGAAAGAACTTTTTCAGTGTCAGAGTAGTTAACAGATGGAATGCATTAGGCAGTGATGTGGTGGAGGCTGATTCCATACACAGTTTTAAATGTAGATGCGATAGAGCCCAGTAGGCTCAGGAATCTGTACACCAGTTGATTGACAGTTGAGAGGCGGGACCAAAGAGCCAGAGCTCAACCCCCGCAAGCACAAATAGGTGAGTACAATTAGGTGAGTACACACCCCCCCCCCATCTTCCTACGCTAGGTCTGGCAAACACCAAATATTGACGAAGGTTGGTTGTCCAGAAACACAACTAAAACGTTCAGGGTGTACTGTGTGTAAACACAGTCATGTGTGCGGCGCAGCTGTGAACGTGTTCCGCTTATACATACATACATACATACATACATACATACATACATACATACATACATACATACATACATACATACATACATACATACATGTTTTTATAGCTAGATCGATGTGAGAAAATAACTTTTGGCCAATGAGGATGACTTGAACCGGCGTTCTTGTGATTCTCAGACACCTGCCTTAACCCATTGTCCAAAAATGATTTGTTCACTGATATATCATTCCAGTGCGATTTGTTTGTGGTTTAGATGGATTAATTAATCACAACCTTTTAATTGTTATTGATACTATTATTGTTGACCCCCGCCCGTCCCTGAAGCTCCCAGCACCGCTCCACCTGTACACGCACAATACTCAGCCAAGGGAATTTTCTCTAATTAAAAAATAAACAAATTGCAAATTATCTCTACATTCTCCTAAATTTGTTTTAGGAGACTGTAGAGATATTTTGTCACTCCAGACCGACAACCAGAGCGCAACTCCGTAGTCTCCTGTGACTGATGGATGCTTACTACTCCGTTTTGAGGCTAAAAATGTATTCTGTGTATTATATCTTTGTTGTATTTCTAATGTGGAAAACAATTATTTTTTCAATATCTATAATCAAATTAAAAAATGCAGTTATTAATTAAACAATTTCGTGTCTTTCAATGGTAGACAGATAGCAATAAAGTGTTTACAATGAATGATATATAATTTGAAATAAAACTGTCTAATAAACCTAATCAATCTAACGTAATTTTCGTGAAACAAAATAAAATTGGTTTTCTCCCAAATATTTTAGTTTATATATTTTTTTTTTTTTTTTTTTTTTTTTTTTTTTTTTTTTTTGAGATATATACAAGAGTTGTTACATTCTTGTACAGCCACTAGTACGCGTAGCGTTTCGGGCAAGTCCTTAATCCTATGGTCCCTGGAATACGATCCCCTGCCGCGAAGAATCGTTTTTTCATCCAAGTACACATTTTACTGTTGCGTTAAACAGAGGCTACAGTTAAGGAATTGCGCCCAGTAAATCCTCCCCGGCCAGGATACGAACCCATGACATAGCGCTCGCGGAACGCCAGGCGAGTGTCTTACCACTACACCACGGAGACTGCTGAATATTCACGTTTTTGTTACATTTTTTATAATATTAAATAAATTTGTTTTCCATATATCAATACCATTGTTAAAATATGTGTGATGGAAAACTAAATCACACGGAATAGTCTATATCAGGGATGACCTAAAGTACCATAGGTCCCAGGTTCGATTCCCAAACAAGAGCAAGACGTTAGGTCAAGCTTCCTAACACCTTGATGCTTTTATTCACTTAACAGTAAATAGGTACCTGGGAGTGAGGCAACTGTTGTGGGTTGTATTTTGGAGAATAATCAGTCGTTAGTTAAAAGGGGGAGAGGAGACCTGGGTAACTCTAACAGGTCATTGGGAACCCATATTGGGTCGTGACCACCAGAGGGACAGAGGTTGTGGTCTGGGTGGAGGTAACAGGGGGCTTGTGAATAGTGCCAACATTGGACAGAGGTTTTGTATAAAGTCTATTATCGCAGAAAATGATAATTTTTGGTTGCTTAACGAGTCAAATGTAAGAACCTAGAGTTCAGTTCCATTTACCACTTCTGCGATGTTAACTATATCATCTTCAGTGTAATAGATAAGTACTCCTAACCTAAAAATATGATAATCTAGTCTTAAATAATATACTGAGCTGTGTAAGAAGCACTTTACATTTACGTTCATCCAGTAAGTGGTCTACACAAATATGCACATTACCATGTTCTTATTATAAGAATCATAGCTAAGATGATTTGTCAGGACCATGAGCATTGTAGTCTTCCCCTGTTTTATTATGATTTTTTGAACAATAAAGATTTATAATTAGTATAATAAGGTTCCCTGAAATTTTATATTTTTGTTTGGCGTACTAGTAAGGTTTCCTTGCGGTGTGTGGTGCACAGGTTGGTATCTGTCGTAGCTGCGTGTGTGTTGGGGACGTGTGTGTGGGCGACCTCCTCCACCACCACCCGGGGGGAGCGGCAGGTCGTCTTCCACAACAACTACCCGTCTCTCCTCTACATCAACTCTGCTGCCGGCTCAGCATCTGTTGACACAAGAGCTGACGGCGACTCTAACATCGTCCACGTTATCCTGTACCCAGCCAACGGGGTATGTCTCCCTCGCCCTGTGCCTGCTTCAGCTATTGTCCTTCCTCTCCAACTTCACCTCTACTAGACGTGTGTTTCCACCTTGGCCAAATTTCCCATCTCCTTACTACGTCCTCACAACCCGACTCCACTTTTGCGTGACCTAGAGATGCCCTTCTAACCGCCATCGTGCCTTCCCCATCTATTTGGGCCTGCTTGTCCTCCATGCGTCCTATCCTACACGGGACCCTGCCCTGTCCTTTCCAACTTCATAGGCATGTCCGCCTGTCCTTTCCAGGCACTTGTCCTGCCCTTCGAGCATCCTATGTGTATCCGCCTTCTCTTAGTACCCCCCCCCCCCCGACTCCTACACTCCTTCTTACAAGATTTCTCGCTTGAAAGTATGATTTTAACTCTCCCAGCAATACAGCAATACTTAATTTGTCCCAGCGAGGTGCGTTTTACTGTGAGACCTCCGTTAATAAGTCATCATAAATGTCGCACTGAAGTAGTGATCTTTATCACTAAATCCCCACACTTGTATTCGTCAATTAAGGACCTTCTGAATAGTTTTTATCGTACACTTGTTCAGTGTGGATATTAGGTTAATTTAGCGGTGTGTGTGTAGCTGTATGCTTACTCATAAGGTAAGAACACCAATAGCAACTATTGACTATAGTTGCAATAGCCTTAACTATACTCTTCTGTCATGGCAAAGTTATACTTTAATAAATGCACGTTGTATTCTTTCGGGTTCACGCAGGAGGCCCAGGCGGCGAAGCGCGCAGTGGTGGTGTTGCAGGGCAGCGCCACGGGGACGCTGGTGCTGACGCAGGACACGCCGCCCGTGGGACCCACCCGCATCGAGGGCACCATCACCAACCTCACCGCCGGTCTCCATGGCTTCCATATCCACGAGTTTGGCGACCTCTCCGGCGGGTGCGGCACTGCAGGAGGACACTTCAACCCTTACAAAGTAAGTCACCGACGGGACACTTCAGGCCAGTGAGGCTTTCCACATTGTCGCTTCCGTGTGTACCTTTGGGTCTCATTTCTACCATTAGTGTAGATTTCAGATCCAAAACTTATATTTTTGACCTGTTAAACCCGTTATAGTAGTTAATTGGTGTATAATTGTTAATTAAATTTTTATACAAAAATGGATCGTAATTACTAACAAAATTGCAAACGTTTTCCAAACCATTATCACACACACAATTATATATATATATATATATATATATATATATATATATATATATATATATATATATATATATATATATATATATATATATATATATATGTCGTACCTAGTAGCCAGAACGCACTTCTCAGCCTACTATTCAAGGCCCGATTTGCCTAATAAGCCAAGTTTTCCTGAATTATTATATTTTCTCTAATTTTTTTCTTATCAAATGATAAAGCTACCCATTTCATTATGGATGAGGTCAATTTTTTTTATTGGAGTTAAAATTAACGTAGATATATGACTAAACCTAACCAACACTACCTAACCTAACCTAACCTATCTTTATAGGTCAGGTTAGGTTAGGTTAATTCATGAAAACTTGGCTTATTAGGCAAATCGGGCCTTGCATAGTAGGCCGAGAAGTGCGTTCTGGCTACTAGGTACGACATATATATATATATATATATATATATATATATATATATATATATATATATATATATATATATATATTTATATAAAATACCAGTAGAATGTCTGAGTACAGAATATTTCATATTTGTTTACTTACAGAAGGAACACGGGTCTCCAGAGAACTTGAACCGCCATGTGGGTGACCTGGGCAACATCCTGGCCGACGAGTCTGGCCTCGCTTATGTCAACATCACCGACCAGCTGGTGACGCTGGTGGGGCCCACGTCAGCCGTGGGTCGCGCTATTGTCGTCCACGCCGGCCAGGATGACCTTGGCAAAGGCGGCAACCCAGAGAGCCTTAAGACAGGAAACGCTGGAGGACGGGTGGCTTGTGGCGTCATTGGGTTGGCTTAAGGGGTTCCTTCCGACAGTAGTAAGGGCGGGGAATCAGTACCAACTTTCCAGGACTGGAATTATTTTCAAGGGACCACAAGAGATCAACATCATTCTTCGCCAACAATCCTGAGAGCTCAGAGTAGCGGTCTAGGATGATAAAGAATGATGTCTTGTTATTTGTTATACTTAAATTTGTTATCAGTGGCATGATTATTCTCCAAAGGGGAAATTATATACATGGAAAACATACAGAACAAATAATCCATTATTACATTACGTTACATAAACATATATGTATTTTTAGCTTGAAATATAATTAAAGTTTACAGAATATATTCGAAAGCTGTGAATCTATAATAAAGATTACGCTGATAATTGTTGTATTATTCTCCTCTACAAGTTGTCCTACAATACGGTACTCGGAGTTTACATGCAAATGTATGATAAACTACAAGTAATAAATATGCACTTATAGTCATAAAATTGAGGAAAAACAAATCACCATTCTTCATACTGCTTGGTGCTTTCTTTTGTTAATTACTTCGTTAATAGTTCCTCTTTGTAATGCATTCATTTATTATTATGTTTTGCATGTTTAACACGCATCAACAACATTCCAACAATATAATTAGTTATAACCTCAACTATCCGCCAAGCAACTGAGTGTACTAAATGAGTTTACATCTTTATTATATGAGTTAACATTGGTTTATATAGTATTTTTTTAACTTATATGTTTGTGAAGATTAAATGGATAAACTAATTTAAACTCTGGCTTGGTTGTGGAATAAGTGCGCCTTGAGCAGTGACGGAAACGAGCAGTAGCGGTGACTATATTTATTTTCACCTTGCGCTACTAGATGTCAGGGTGGGAGGTGGACGGTCGGTACCCCACCAGTGGAAGCCTGGCCGTGGAGGGCGGCGGCTGGTCGTGGAGGACGGCGGCTGGTCGTGGAGGGCGGCGGCTGGTCGTGGAGGGCGGCGGCTGGTCGTAGAGGACGGCGGCTGGTCGTGGAGGACGGCGGCTGGTCGTGGAGGACGGCGGCTGGTCGTGGAGGGCGGCGGCTGGTCGTGGTCGCTGTGCTAGTTTCCCGCCTAAAATTACCTTGACCAGCTAAACCATTTACGGTTTTCGTTTTCTGTTATATAGTATTTACAAGGTCAGCCACTTTTTATTATTATTATCAATATTCTTGCCATACTGACTCGGGTGTGGTTTAGCTAATAATGTAAATTATGAGAAAATTGTTCAACTATTTGCGGTAAACAGTTTACCACATGTTTATTATTAATGGTTTTTATTCTTTAGGGTTTGACATTTTCACTGCATATAAGCTCCTGATTATGCGAGTCCTATTTTGAGATTAGGATTATGTTATAAATTTTTCCTTTAACGTAAAGTGATTGACCTTCCTGGGAACTCTCCATTGACACAAGTGGCATACCAGACAGGCTGACACAATGTTCCTTGATATAACACTCGCTGAAACTAATAACATACATATTTTGAATTGATTATCTTTACTGGGTCTTAAAATGTCCCAGTGAAGGCATCTTAGTATGTTCAACTATGAGTGTTCATATGTTCGTGCTACATAGGAACATGGTCCTGGGACCAGGTACTGGAACCGACTGGGTTATTCAATGCCATGTGCTTGCACATTATTTGTTTGGGTTTTGAGAACTCGCCTAATTGTACTTGAGGGAGTTGAACTTCGGCTCTTTGGTCCCACAGAACGACTACCAATCAACTGGTATACAGGTTCCTGTGCCTTTTATACACTATTATATTTACACTTGAAATTGTGTCTGGAGTCTGCTTCTACCAAATAGCTTCCTAGTCCAATCCATTAGTTTACTACTGACGGTGGAAAAGTTCTTTCTGATGTCTGTAGCCCATTTGGGTACTATACTTCCACCGATCTTCCCCTGTGCGAGTACCACCCGTGCTAAATAGATCTTTCTTTGACCTATCGACTTCCCTGAGAATTTTATGTTAATCATGTTTAAGTTGATGTCTTTTCTCCAGTGACGTGAGGTTTAATTTTAATTTCTGTAGCTTCTAGGAACTCATACCTCGTAGTACTGAGACTAGTCTGGCTGCATAGCTTTGAACTCGCTCTCTTGCATGCTCCAGAGATTTGAACACATCCGATATACAAGATCGTGGATGATTCCTTACAAAAATTTCTGAAGTCGGTTCTTATGGTGGTCAACCTCGTATATGCCGCTGATATCCCTTTGAGATGGACTTCAGAAGCCAGGTTTGATGTGATAACAACTTCCAGATCTTTGTCCGATTCCTGAAGGATTTAGTCTCCAATTTGGTACCTTGTGTCCAGCCTCCTGAACTCTACATTTAGTTTCATTATTTGCATTTACTAGCGTTGAACGCAAAGTAAAGAAACTAGTGTACAGTATACTTGAAGCGATCAAGAAGGCTGTATTAAAGGTTCAAAAGTAAACCCTGTTTTACTGTATGTACAGTACACACTTGGCTTGTACCTCGTATCACGCTTACTATCATTCTGGATTATTTAATGAGTTAATTTTTTCTCGTTAACTCCAACAATTTGGAAACCGTACACAGCTGAATGGCAGAAATATTTATAAAAGTTCAATGTAGTTTTCCAGTTTACACCGTAAGCACCAGTGTTTAACGCGAAGCCCTAGTGTTCGGCTCCAATAAATATTTACTGTTGGAAAGCGTGTTAGAGAGAGCGGTATGTTGGCAGTGGTTACTGTGTTGGTAACGGGGGCGCTGGGAGCCGGGCGAGGGTGTTAGTGGTGGTTTTGACAGTGGTGGTGATGCCTGCGGCGGTGGTCGAGGGTAGGTTGCTAAGCAGGAGGACAACACTGCAAGTGTGTGTTGCACAGTATAGTATTATTGTTACGTTACGCTTAGTGTTGCTAGTGGGGTAAAGATGCCATCAAACAAGACAGTTTTTTAGCTGATAGGTATTAATGATAGCATTAACCATGAGACGGTTGGTATTCCTGAAATGTGAATAGTTTAGTTGTGTAAATATACGGTGCTCACTTATACCTGAGCACCGTATATGCATGTATTAAAAACCTAGATTTTATAGCAAGACTTCACAGCATTTCAAAGATACACAAACTCTCACTTTTATCGATCTATGTGCTAAATAGTTTAATGACTGCTGTAGGAAAAATTGATTGAATCGTGAATCTCAAATATCATTCATATATGTTTTTTAAATCTCAACTTAGACATAACCGGCCCATAGTAATGCTAACAAATTTACTCAAATTATTTCCTACATATTTGAAATAGCGGTGAAAAAAATATTTAAATATATATATATATATATATATATATATATATATATATATATATATATATATATATATATATATATATATATATATATATATATATTTAAATATTTTTTTCACCGCTATTTCAAATATGTAGGAAATAATTTGAGTAAATTTGTTAGCATTACATTATATATATATATATATATATATATATGAATGAAAACTCACACCCCAGAAGTGACTCGAACCCATACTCCCAGAAGCAACGCAACTGGTAACTACAGGGCGCCTTAATCCGCTTGACCATCACGGCCGTCAAAAGGAAGTGATAGCCGAGGCTATTTGAGCCACTTCCCTAGTTACCAGTTGCGTTGCTTCTGGGAGTATGGGTTCGAGTCACTTCTGGGGTGTGAGTTTTCATTCGCATATAGTCCTGGGGACCAATCAGGCTTGTTCGCATATATATATATATATATATATATATATATATATATATATATATATATATATATATATATATATATATATATATATAATTATTATATATATATATATATTAAATATTATAAAATTATTGTTTTAATTTACAAATTTACTAATTAAATATTATAAATTTTAATATATATATATAATATATATATATATATATATATATATATATATATATATATATATATATATATATATATATATATATATATATATATATATATATATATATATATATATATTGAATATGACCGAAAGGGTAAGATTAATATTTCTAACACGAATCTTTTCAATATTTCTTACGTTTTTCTTCACTGTCGAGGGTAATTGAAAAATTAACTATCCAAAATTCATTTTTTACATTTTTGGTCTGACGCCTAAAAGTGTTTCGTAAGGCTTCTTACATTCTCAAAGACTTGTTTACACCTGACATACATCATACTTATATTCGTTTTGGGTGAGGTGATATGACCCAAATGTTTTGGGTGAAGGTGGGTATTAATTGGGTATGAAAACATAATGAAAGTAAATGCAGAAGGCCTATTGGCCCATACTTTCTCTTGCTGCTCCTATGTTGGTTCGGGGTCTTGAAGTGGGTATAATATAGTTGTACATTAATTGGCTGTTGATTGCTGGTGTTGACTTTTTGATGTGTAGTGCCTCGCTGATGTCGAGTTTCCTGCTATCGCTGTATCTGTCGATGATTTCTGTGTTCAAGATTTCTCTGGTGATGGTCTGGTTGTGAGAAGACATTATATGTTCCTTGATAGAGCCCTGTTGTGTTTGCATTGTTAATCGCCTGGAAAGAGACGTTGTTGTCTTGCCTATATACTGAGTTCTTTGGGGCTTACAGTCCCCAAGTGGGCATTTGAAGGCATAGACGACGTTGGTTTCTTTCAAGGCGTACTGTTTGGTGTCTGGAGAGTTCATGAGTAAGTTGGCCGTTTTCTTGTTTTTATAGTAACAGATTATCATCCACAAAGATCTCGGTACATAGGCAAGACAACAACGTCTCTTTCTAGGCGATTAACAATGCATAAACAACAGGGCTCCATCAAGGAGCATATAATCTCCTTACACAACCAGACCATCACCAGAGAAATCTTAACAAGCAACACAGAAATTATCGACAGATACAACGATAACAGGAGGCTCGACATCAGCGAGGCCCTACATATCAAAAAGTCAAAACCAGCAATTAACAGCCAATTAACACATAATTTCATTCTACCCACTTCAAGACCCCAAACCAGCACAGAAGCAAGCAGATAAAATGTAAACCCATGGTTATATACCCCATATATACCCATTGTTTCGTGTTCTGTTCCACAAAGAACTAATTGTAAAGTAGAGGAGCATGATGAACATGGTGTGTAGTGGGGAGTTGAGCGTACGTAGGACAACCATCATAAAAATGTGCTAAAAAAATCGACTCCAAAATGCCTTTTTCAGAACTTTCAGCAACAAGGAAGAAAACTTGCAAATAACTGGGTTCTTAGTCGTGCAGGGATCTATGGAAACGAAATTTCTGACAAACAAGTCGGAGACGGAACAAAGATAATGTAGATGTCAATATCTCAGCATGCACCAGTCGACTGCAAAAATCATGCAGGGAGTCTGGAAACGGCAGTTCCTGCGGGTTTACACAGTCCTCTGTACGACATCCCCCATCAGCTGCCTGGTACAGAGATGTAACCGGGAAACAGAACACCAACCTTCTGTACAGACCCCACCAGGGGGAGTGAAAGGGGAGGAGGCACGAATAACATGGACAGTGACTAGGCTACCCGTGTGCGTGGGAGAACTGTATCAACACGAAAGACAGTACAGCCATTGTGGAAGACCAAATGGGTCGTCCCTCAATCACCATTCACTGTATTAGTGATTTATTTGTCACTGCTCAGTGACAAAGGCAGTCCAGTTCCTGCTTCATAAGAATTTGCGAAATCAAACATCATTAATTCTAGTAAATACGTACAAATAATCATGAAGCTAAAAATTCCGCTGTACTTTAAGTACTGGATAAAAAAAATTCTGGTAATTTCATTCGTTATTATTGATTGTTTTTTATTGTATTAAACAGTAGGCGAGGAGTGGCGGTTGCCAGAGGGTCCCACCAGACCTCGTAACTCCATTATAAATTCCACCTCCCAATTAGCCCTTGATTAACACTCATGGTTACTCCTATATTTTGTTAACCAGGAAGCGAATTATAATTGTGCCATGGGTGTAATGCTTAATTAATATTGTAATTTGCGTGTAAGTAAAGTTATACTTTTCAGTTGTGCAGAAGTAGGCTATAACCAGCTTCCTCGCAGGCTTCAGACTAATATTAGCCTGTTTGTTTGTTGTATTATGGGAGGCCGTCCCTCCCAGCACCACATAC